CCTGTCAGTTGCTTTAAAGGTATTTCACAACTGGCTAAAGGTAGGAAAGGATGAAGGTAAGCTTTCGGTTTGAAGAGTACACTTTGCACTACTAGTCTATGTTCTTGTGCTACTAACATACAAGAGTTTATTTTAACAAGGAAAAAATGGAACATTGCAGTGGTCCAGGTGTAGTGAATACAGCAGGCACATTGAGGTGCTTGACTTCAGAATTAAGCCATCATCTTTGATGTATCCTATGAGTATGTTCCTGTTTCTCTTTCAGATAAAAAATTGGGTTTGACCTAAGTTAGTACAATCTTATTTTACTGTTCTTTCTGCTGGCTCATGATTTGGATGTATTTCAGGTGACTCTCCCATACTCAGCCCTTTGGCCAGTTCTAAAGACATATCCAGGGAAAAGCCAAGCTCCATGCTACCTGTAACTGTTCCTTTTTCATATGCAATGCCATCCCTTTTCCATCCCTTCTGAACATCAGGAGAAAAGCCTCTCCCAACAGGACATAGCATGTAACTGATAGGAATACCCTATAAAAGATGCACTTAAATCATATTTCAGTCCATCAGCTTAAGGCATATACTAGCTCATGGTATGCAGTGTCTCACCCACATGTCTTGTCCTGACACCAGGACTGGGGTTTTTTCAGCCATTTATACCATAATTTTTCATAAAAGGAAACAAAAAGGCCAGACCCAATTGAACTATTGCAAATGGAGATCTCAGATTGGGTCCCTTACAATTTTAAGCTTCAGCTGTTGAATCATGACATTTTAGTTATTAATTTTTAATTATATATAGTGGAAGTACATAAATAGGGTGAAATGCTGGATTCTGTGAACAGGAATCTAGCCTGTACAGGCTTGGTCTGAGGGTGGCTTAGAAGGCTCAGAGCAGAGAGGTTGTTGAGAAGAGCTCTGTGGTTGTGGTAGCCAGTTTCCTGGACTGCCTGTGTTTCCTGTCTGATGCCTTTTTTCTCCCTCCTGACCTCCCTCTCCCCTTCCACAACTCCTTCTCCCCTAAAGATACCCTGGGAGAGGGTGTCCAGAAGGAAAGGTGCTGCTCCACAACTTGTTTAAAGCTCTTTGTTGGTCTCACGTAAATGCAGGGGTACAAGACAACTGATTCTTAATCTCTTACATACTGCAGATCTCAACTGATTTTCTGTTTCTGACAGTTGAATATTTTTAATTCGGGAATTAGGGGCTGGTTCACACTTCCATGATAAAGGCTTTAGTTTCTTACTTCATCTGGAAATTTCAGCTTTGAACATGAAAAAAAATCAATCTGAAAGTTAGGCTTTCTGGTAAAATAAATATTTTAAAACAACAGATTAAAATTTAAGGTGTTTAATAATCTTGGAGCAGTTAAATCTTCCTGGTATTACTAGTAAATGACAATCCATTTATTGATATAGGAAGAATTTGACGCTGAAAGAACTGAGAATTCCAAAGGACATTTAAATTAGTAATCATAGCTCCTAAATTACGAGTGAACTGTCTGAAGCTGGAGCTATAAAAACCTACCAAATTTCATATGCTAAACAACAAAAAAATCTGAATATTTTTCAGATCCCAGTGAACAAATGAGTGTTTATTTACCAGCCAAGTGCTTGGTTAAAAGCTGTGCATGTTCTTGACCATTCTAAATCCTCTGTAAAGGAATACATACTGCTGTATCTGGTGTTAATACAATATTCTTCATGTTAACATGTGATTAGTTGCAGCAGAATAAAATACTCATCCCAACATACGGGAGAAAGAAATGAGTTACAGAACCTGCAATGATACAAGTGCTCTCTAGTGATAACATGGAGCAGCAAAAAAAGCCTTTTTGATGGAAAGGCAGCTTCTTCTCCAGCTTCCTTTAGAAAAAAGTTTTCATAATGATGGTTATCTTGACCAACATTTTCCTCCTCTACCTAAGAAAGAAAGAGGTTCTGGAGGAGGAGAAGCTCTAAAGAATTAATTTATTGGAAGAACAGTTCTTTATTCTTGCCTGTTCTGTCAATAGTTCCTTTTGTAAAGAACAACTGTGTCAGGAGAAATATTATTGAACCAGGTAAAGTGATGCTCTATGTTTAAGATAAGAGAACAGAGGCAAGGTTGCTGTTTTGAACTAAGTAGAAAATAGATTATCTGTTTCGCCATCCCTTCCTTTTTGATGTCTCTTTTTTCCCCCTTGAGATCTTGTTTTCTGCCCGTATCATCATGAAGACTGAGCCTGCCCCAGGCAGCTGCCCTGGCTGCTGCGCTGCAGTGGGGCTGTGGCAGGATCTGAGGAGTCATTTTCCTGAAGCAAACTGTAGCAGAGTAGGGTATTTTCCACCTAGAAACCAAAAAATGTGTATTTGTGATCAATTCTGCTGCTGTGCTCTATGCTTGATGTTGACATTGAGTTGGTTCGTGATCTCCAATTAGATGATGAGGCTTCTGGCAAAGGTGGAGCAAGGAGGGTGTACCACAGTACAAGTTTCCCTCTCACACCTGCATGCTGAATACATTTAAGTCACCTGAACCAGCTTCTGCTGTAACCTGGTACAAGGCACTGCAGGTCTCTAGCAACAGCAGGACCAAGGCTGTTGGCTGGAATATGCTGAGGAAGCTGAGGGGTGCCCCAAGCTCAGTCTCTGTCAAGGTGGCTTTGCAGACAGACTTTGTCTTCGATCAGCCACTCTATATAAAATGCAGTGGCAAAGCTGATGTATCTCAGTGGCACACTTTGAAGCTAACTAACATCTGGGAAAAGCTCTGCATTTCTCAAAAGAAATTGCATAAAAATGCAGACAGGGCTGCTGCTGTTGGCTGCTGGGTGCTTGCTCATTTACCTGGGTCCACCTGGTGGCCTGGGAGCAAGCAGGGTTGCTCTGGAGTGCATCCATCTCCCTGTTTGTGGATATCATGGGGCAAGATCTCATCTTCAGAAAATCATAGTTATTTCTGTAACATGTTGCCATCATAAATACAAATATATGTAACTGTGCATCAGCAGATAGGTGGCACATTATTTCAGAGCCTTCCTGAGAAACTTAAAGAATTGCAGTTTCTTCATGACCTAAACAACTTGGGAGAGCAACAAAAGAGGGCATATATATCCTAGAATCATAGAATCCCAGACTGGTTTGGGTTGGAAGGGACCTTAACGCTCATCCAGTTCCAACCCCTGCCACAGCAGGGACACCTTCCACTAGAGCAGGTTGCTCCAGGCCCCGTCCAACCTCAGGAATTGTTTGATAAAGCTGGAGTTTGAAGAAATGAAACTTTCCCTCTGGATCAGTTGTGAGCTTTTCCCTGAGCATGCCCTTTTTCAATTAAGCATCACACTGAAAGTCTCTCTACATGCACAGCACTTTCTCTAAGAAACACGGATATGTCAGTCGTGGTGCTCTGTCTAAATCACAGCTTGAGTGAGTTTGTTGAATTACTTTTAATAATGCTTTAGTCCTAATAGCCAGCTTTAGTACAAGCTACGGAAATTAAAACCTAGCGATGTTTGAATTATAAGAAATTGAAATTATTCTTCGTGCTTGGAAATCGAGCCCCTATTACTGCTCATGCAGAGGTTTTTGAGATGTTTGCATTCGTTCCAAGGCCCTATAGAATTGGTTTTGTCCTATAAGTAATAGAATATAGTTTGTCTGATCTATAAGCTGTGAAGTCAGGTGAAGAATTGGCTGTTCCCACACCACACCACATGTTCCTAACCTGAAAGCTTGAATGATTTGTGGGTATCTCTGTTCCAGGTGATTTGTAGTGCTAGGATTCATCTTTTTCATTTAGTGAAACATGCTGTTTGACTTCGCCTTGGTCAGTTATTACAGGCTAGTTTGCAGTGTGGCAGCTCTCTGGAGACCCTGCTCATAGTTACTCATTGGCCTAGAAGAAAGGATTTAATGATTTTCTACTTCCTCTATGTTTGGTTTTAGGGTGCAGATATTTTATAAATGTGAGTCAAACTATTTCCTGGTGACACTTTACAAATTTTCACTCTGTTTAATCTCTGAGTAATGTTTTTAGGTTCATATATGTTGTAGCCTTTGGCATTTTGGACTAACGTATCTCAAGGATACCTTAGAGCATTTTATCTTTAAATGGATTCTATAGTTACTTTGTAATTTCTTTGTACAAAAGTTGTGCCAATCCCTAAAATAAGTCCTACCCTTCCGAGCTTACGCACACCAGAGGTGTAGAGGCCTCAGAGGTAGCATACTCCGTGTGGCGTTAGCTGAAGGCTCTGGTGACGTGCCAGCCAACAAGCAAAGTGAATTACATAGCTTCTGTTTGGGTGCCAATAGAAGTTAATTGTATGAGATTATAGATCTCAGTGTTTTATAAAGTTGATGAAATGGCTTTATCCCTTCTATAGAGCTCTGTAAAGTCAGTCATGGAAGTAAAGTAAAATGTCTAAAATCAGAGGCTGGATTTGTAACTGTGATGGAAATGGTGTAGATTTATAGACTTTTTGCTGTAATCATGATTGCCTTCATCAGAATGTTCCCTTCAACTTCTTTGCAGTGTTCACACACGAAGAAAGGTGGATGTGATGTAAGAAAAACAGAATCTTGAAGACCAACTAGGGATTAATCTGAAACTAATACAGATTGGGGTCCTTTCCAACCCTGACTGTTCTATGATTCTATGATTACCGGTTGCACGTGTATTGCTCTCCTAGAAGTAGTGTGACAGGGGGGCAAGTCCCTGTCGTAAAGTGAAAGCCTGTACTTTAAATTAATACAGCTCTAAACCTCAATTCATATTTGTTTAAACTTCATTTTTTTCTTTGGAGCTGAGCTCTGGTATTAGTTGCCTTTAATTTTCTTTACCTGGTAGATTTGGTTATGGAAATATTTGTTTGGAAGAATTACTTTCATAAAACCATGCTCATACATGAAATCTCAGGGATTTCAGTATGGTTCATAAAGGTTTCATTAATTTTTCCTTGTGAACACATCATATAGTGTAACAACAGTATCCATATTCATGTAAACTGTATTTTCTTTCAGATGATGTCCATCCTAATGAACACCATCATTTCTGAAGACTGTAGAAATCAATGGTCTGTGTCAAGACCACTGGTTGGACTTACACTTCTCAATGAGAAAGTGAGTATTTAAGAGATGCCACCAAATTCCCTCTTCACATGCCCAAATTGCTGAAATAGTTATTGCACGAAGAACAAAGCTGCCTGTTGCCCTGATTCAGATCCCCCATCTCTTTCTTTGGGGTCGTGCTCCGTTACGCTCACAATAGGAGTGAAGAGCAGGGTTCAGGTCATGTACTAAGTATTTCACAGGTTAGCTCACAGAGGCTGAGTGGCTTCATTTTCATGAAGAATCCTCTCAAACCTCTACCCCAATTTTTACACCCAACCTTAGATCATGCAAGTACATCATTAACCTTTCTCTAATAAATTTTGTCTTCACTTTTCCAGAATTAAGCAGGAATAGGAGTTATGCAAGCTCATCAGGCTTTTAGATAGAAATATGAAACAAGAACTCTGTGGAAATCACATCAGAAAAATTGCTTCCTAGAAAAAGAGTTAACCAATTTCTTTTTCTGAAAGGTTTCACAGGAATAGCCAGCTTTGGGGGCTCTTATCTGAGTGCTTACACTTAAGTACTCGCATTGATTGCAATTTGGAGTGCGTGCATCTGTGGCAGATTCTGTAAACCAGGAAATACTCTGCAATTTGCCCTTTCAATAAAATCTGAAGCTATGAATTTGGATATACCCATCATGTTTCCCTGGTGACTTAATAGAGACAATATTGTCTGAAATGGAAACCATCTGAGTAAATGAATGCGAGTTGATCTAAATGTGTGCATTTTTTGTATGGCAAGGCATTGTTTGTGAAGATCCTGACCTGTTGTATGCACCGTACTTCAGAGCCAGCTCTAACTTTATTCTCAATTGCCTTATCTCTTGGGCAGTCACAAGCCTCAGTGTATTACTGCTTTGGAGAATGAATTGTCTATACAATAAGAAGGCGCTGGAAAAAAATAAGACACTAAGATTAGCACCAACCGCATACATTAAAATTCAAACTGAAATCCCAGCTATGGAAGGAAACTAATAGAAGAAGAAAATATATCAAGAAAAGAAGCGCTGTCTCATCATTCACCTGTACTGAAGGATCCAATTTTAGCCATATCCAACAGCACTGTCATTCATCTTCTTGGTGTGTTATTGTGATTTAAATCCAAGCTCTATAAGAGAGAGCAGTTCTTTTAAAATGATTGAGAGGGAATAAGGGCAAATTCAGTGTTTAGGAAAACTTTATGACATCACAATATTATACTTTACAGATGGAAGCAATATTTCCTACTTTGGAAGGAAAACTAATCATTTTCTATCTGCTCTGAGTCACTGCATCATTATAAAAGTGGGAAATAAGTAGTTTTGTGCATTCCCAATCTTGTTCAAGACGACACTTTTGTTTATATAATGCTTCTGATTTATAGCATGTAAGTATTAGCCTGACTACATATTAATTATGTGGTTTTGATGCTTCAGTATAAGAAGAAATTAAATATTTCACTTGAAGATAAAACCACGGAGCTGTAAATCATAAGGAATAAATTTGTGACTGGCGGAATATTCTTTTTACTGAAATTAGACTAGTTCTAATGATTATGTGTTTCGCTTAGCAGACATGGATATGTACAAGCACCTTTACTTATGAACAAGTCTTACATTTCTTCTGGAAGGGTGGAGAACAGGAAATAGGATTTACAATATTTGTATTGCCCCTTTTGCATCAAGGTTATTTATTTCATGTTCAGAAGAAGTAGGACACGTACTTCTATATGGCAGTAAAAGTCATCGTTTTTTGGCTCATTTCAGTGCACAGCTGGTTCATTTATTGGAAATGGGTTCCTTAATTTCAGGTAGGGTCTCTGCCTCTACAGTTCTTGAGGTAGCAGACATACGTTTACCATGTTTTACTGCTTGTTCTCTTCCTCTTTTGTGTTAATGAGATCTTCTTTGCCTGTAATTCGTCTCAAAGGGAAGGCATCAAGTTTACTTGGGGACACACAAAAAATGGGATTTATACTCTTAGCTTGTGCTACTAGGGCTCATTATGCCAAAATGGGAATCATACTCAAGAGTCCAATGTAAAACAATGCTAAACCTTTTGAGATAGCATCAGCTTAGTATGAAATGGGATGGTTGCACATGGCTCCTGATGTTGTTTCTGCACTGAAGTGCAGCGGCAAGTTCAAATCCTAAGTGCAAGAGGTTGGCACAAAAAGCACTCTGCATTCAATAATGTAGCAACCATGTCTCCTTGCTATTGTCCTTCAACCAAAGAACACAGGCACTCGCATGTACAGGAAAAAGTGATGTTACTGCAGAGAAGCCCTAGAAACCCCAGGGCTCAGAACAGCTCCCCTGTGTTGAAACGGTGATGCCATGGGATACTGTAGTCATTAATGGTAGGCAGAGATTGATGTTAATACTTTCTATTATCAGGTTGACAGAAGTTGTTCTTGGAATGCCTCTTGCCTAAAAACAACTTGTGGACACTGGACAAGGTCTTGGGCTTGTGGCCTTCTCTACACTGAACTCTGCATTTGTCGCCTTCTGGTAATGTGCTTGTTGCAGGCAGATATTTCATCTTTTACACCAGCCCCCAGGTGATTTTCAGTTTTGAGTTCCTAAGTAGTTTGGGACCCAGCCATTTGATCAGCTGCTGCCTTCACTTCCAGTACTGCTGCAGTGGTCAGCAAAGATGCATAATACAGGATGTTTCTGGTTTGAAAGGAACGGGTTTGAGGGCAAGTGATTTGCCAAGCAGACATTAAAGCAAACACTTCCTATAATCCTGTTGAGTTGTCAGGGTTTAGCATTAGTGTTACGGTTTTACTACACTTCCTTCTGTTATCCCGTATCGTTTTGTGTGTACAGAAACGCTGTAATTTTGATGGAAAAGACGTGTTTAATTTGAGATTTATTTAAGGTTTAAACAGGTTTAAACCTGTTAACTGTTTTAGAAAAATCTGTCAAACTAATCCCAGACTTTTGCACTTTCTGACACTCTGTGACACCCTACAAGTTACATTAACTTCAAATGTCTACTAAATTTTGCATGCAAAAAACTGTTTTTCAGCCTACTTTTAGCAAGCTATCTTGTTATACACTTGAAATTTGGGAAATACCAGCAATATTCCTCTTGACTGCAATATCAGACTGCTCAGAAACTTTGCCAGGTACTTGGGCACAGCTTCATCAGAATGGTTCATTCTCTTCTGAATAATTGTCTGTATCAGTGCTTATACCATGGATGTGCTTACGCCCAAGGCCATAAGATTTTGACTGACACAGCCAATATAATAAAGACTAAACAGGATTATATGACTTGCTTGGCTGTAGTAGTAGGGTAGTGGATAACACTAGAGGTCCCCTCCTGCTCCATATTTCTAGACTAAACCAAAATTTTCCTGAGGTGATAAAAAGTTCTATTTTAACTGTCTATAGATCTGCCACTATATGATGGGAATAGTAATATAAAAAAATCATATAGATTACTTAGCTTCTAAAGAAATGAAGGTGAGTCTGCCTTGTCACAGCACTGAAGCAATTAGAGCCCGCAGCAAAGTATACAAATTTGCACCATTCTGAAAGACTTGAAAAGTGGTCAAGGATGTTTCTGCCGCCTCTCTTAGGTGGCTTTCTGTGTTAGAACTGGTTAGGTGGCCAACACCAACTGGCAAATTGGCATGTCACTCAGTACCACTGAACTCCAGTCATGATACACAACTGATTCACTGCGGGTGCAGTCCAGGAAGGCAGAATCTGAAACCAAGTTCAGATAGAGCTCTGTGTGCTGCCTGCCAGACTCCTCTCCCAGATGAAAACATACAAAACACTTGCTCAAGAGTGCTCCAGGTGTAGGTGATTAACTTCGGGTTTACATTTCCAAACCTCATTTTTAGTATTCTCTGCCTTGCTATCACAGTACTTCAGTGAGCTGAGGGCAACCTTGATAACCAGCCAGCCTGACAGCAAACAGGAAGTCCTTGACCAGTGCTTCAGGAATCTTATGGAAGGAGTTGAGCATAACATTTTGGTAAAGAACAGAGACAGGTAAGTAAATTGAAAAAAATAGAAAGCAAATGGGAAATATAACTGGAAAAAATATAGGAAGTATTCCAGATAGCCATAAACTATAGTTCCTTTTGAAAGAAGCATAATACCCTATCAGAGAATTCATCCCTAGACTTAACAGTTAGAGCCTGAACATTTGATAATTATGAATTTTCTTGGTCAGAAACGTATTTCCTAATGTAATCTGAAAGTCAAGGTTTGCCACGCTGCAGCTGCTGCTTTTTCACTTGGGAACAAACTGCCTCATTTCAGCAGGTGAGACTCAAAGCTTCCTTTTTCCAACCTTAAACCCCTCTGATAAAATACTTGCTTCAGCCTCTGTCAGTGCTGTTGCTCTGACATGGCTTTTTCTTGCTGCTGTTGGGGTCAAGCAGCCGCCTGTGAAGTGACAAGATGAGAAGGGATACGCAGATAAATGAGGCAAGGAATTCTTTAATATTTTTTTAACATGAATTACAAATCCACCCAATCTTGCCCTTATTTGAAAAATGGAATAGAAAAATTCATGAAAGCAGTGGCGAGGTTTTCTGCATTTAATGGTCACACTAACATTTTGTTACTAGCTAGCTGCATTTTTTCTTCAAGTGCATTATTCAACCAAAGCAAACTTTGAAAGTATAGAGACACAAAAATCCAGCCTGTGGAGCTTCCTGGGAAGCTTGAAAGAAACTGGAAAGGGGTTAAATGGCTAAAACCATTTAGTGATTTTATTTCTCTGACTACTTCTGTTTGTTGGTGTTAAAATTATGTTGAGCTTGTTTAATTCTCAAATAGTTTTGCATTAATTATGGTCTCCACATTTTTGTTTCATTTTCATATTAAATTCTGGTACTAAAGGTACAAGTTCCTTATGGCCTGAGTGTGGATGGTGCCAGAGACAGGGAAATTTGGAAGCAAACCCAGAGAAGCACAAAGATCATATCTACAGCACTAATAATTCAGACAGACTTTGTGTGTAACTTGTGTTCTGGATCAGCAGAAAACCTGGGGAAACGGAAGAAAGCCACTGGGAAGGAGGACAATGCCTATTAAAACAAAGAAAAACTGAGCTGACCATGGCAGGCTGTAGGATGTAGTCTGACCTTAGAGCTGTAAATGCCAAGGAGATTCATTTGTCTTGACAGTCCTTCAGGATTTAAAAATTAAAAACTGAGTAAAAGTCATTCTTATAACTAGCTTCTTAGTTCCATAACTATTTATATTTATTGAAGGCAAGGAGTCCTTAAGATAACACTGCTTTCTGAGAAAAACAGAAATGATGTGCATTTTCTCTGAGCTGCCCTGTTCTGAGAACTGCAGGTATGAAGGACAGAGAGGGGATCACTGCCTGGCCGAGCTGGGGGTCAGGAAGCTGCATGGGCAGAAGACTGAGCGCCCTCATCACCTCCAGGCATACAGGAGGGATGGGGAATTATAGAATCATAGAGGTTTTTGGATTGGAAGGGACCTTAAAGCTCATCCAGCTCCAACCTCTGCCACAGGCAGGGACACCTTCCACTAGAGCAGGTTGCTCCAAGCGCCTGTGTCCAGCCTGGCCTTGAACACTGCCAGGGATGGGGCAGCCACAGCTTCTCTGGGCACCCTGTGCCAGCGCCTCAGCACCCCCACAGGGAAGAACTTCTGCCTCAGAGCTCATCTCTATCTCCTCTCTGGCAGGTTAAAGCCATTCCCCCTTGTCCTGTCCCTACAGGCCCCTTGTCAAAAGCCCCTCTCCAGCTTTCTTGTTGGCCCCTTTAGGCACTGGAGCTGCTGTAAGGTCTCCTCAGAGCCTTCTCTTCTCCAGGCTGAACAGGCTGAATCCAGCTCCCTGTGCTCTCCCTGTTCATGGCATGGACAGAGGCTTCCATCTCTTGGGCTGCCAGCAGATACTAGATTTGGCAAATGCTAGATTCAAATATCCATGGATTGAAAGGGGATTTTCACGTCAAAGCACTGTGGAGTCCTTTCACATAGGCAGTGGTGCAGAAGCTCTCGGAGAGCTTTTGTAGGAGTGCAGGCAGGGAGGAATGGGTGCAGGTGTTGGATAGGGATGATTCAGTTGAACAAGCAGCTCGTCTGTCTCAGTAGCATCCGCCTGTCTAACTTGGGAAGACTTTTAAGCCATCACTTCCCCAACAAGCAGCATGAGTTAATATGATGGCTTTTCTGTTTTCAGCTCTTGATTTGTAATCCTTCTCAGATCTATCCTGTGGAACAGGAGGCTTCTTTTAACTGTGATTATTTAAAATTGAGCAGAAATCAATTTCCATTAGTAAGGAAATAAGCACAAACGTAAAAAATTATGAACAGAATAAACTCCTAATGGCATCCTGTATTTCCACAGCATGCCCCAGTTTGCCACAGTGCTAGATGTACCCATCCAGTGCAGTGCAGTGGAGGCAGGCAGGAAGGGTTATTACTCCTGGTCCTGCACAGACCTTTGCTGAGATCCCATCAGTTTTCCAAGCACCTGTCCACAGATTCCTCTGCAAGAAGGAGCCCTAAGGAGCTGTTCTAGGGGAAGCTTTATTAGCTTCAGTATAGTGAGCCAGCAAAGTCTGACACAGTTAAAGTGAAGAGCATTGAGGCAACAAACAAAAGAACATTTGAAAAGCCCTAAACTCAGGGTGCAATACATTGTAAATGTATCACAAATGCCAGGGTCCGGCTTTGTAAATCTTGTTTTGATGTGGTTTTGGGTTGGTTTTGATTCTTTAAATGCATACATGAGATGTGGTAAATGGCAATTAAACTCCTTGTTTCAGATGAAGATAGGCCAAGGGAGTAGATCAGATTCGGGCTGTCACACAAGCTAAGTCAGAGTTGACACACAGTCCTGGATGTGATGGCCACCAGACAGACTCCACATCCTGCACCTTGCCACTAGAGAACTGTTAGGGAGTATTTTTGTGAGTTCATTCTATGCCAGATGACTGCTGGTACCGCGTTTCACAGAGAGACAGGTTGAACTCTGACACCACTCACAAGGGAGGAAGGTAGGTGGAGAAAGCCTGGCCTTGATGGCCCAAAGAGACCGTTGCTGGAGGTTTGGGAGAAGGGACATGTTCCAAGCCACAGGAGATGGAAAGGTTTCTTGTTGCATTTATTTCACAGCTGACTTTTAAAATGTTTCACATTTTCACACATGGTGGGCTGAGTTTCTAATACTGCCCATCCATGTTTACATGTTCATTGGTACTTTATAGGACTGGTTTTGAGGACACCTAGTGATTCTGTTTGTGAGTTTTCCTCTGTTCTTTTTTTCGTTTCAGATTTCCATTATTATTTTTCTTTTTACTGATTTTTGAAATTAATCTCTCACAGTATCAGGTCTCCTGTAATCAAACATTTGGGTTTTCCTTTTCCCAGGTTCGCTCGGAATATGTCAGTCTTTTGCAGAGACATGGCTGAAGCCCTGCGCACTGAAGGGGCCTTGGATCCCAGCACTTTAGATATGATGAGTTGACAATGACTGTGGGAACAGAGCACTGACTAACAAACCAACCCTGAACGTTTGGGGACCCAGTGACATTGTTAGATAGATTTTTGACCCTTGTGAAAACTATTTTTTTAAGATGTCTTCTGCCTTTTTGTATCTCTGGCCTAAATGTAAGGATTTATAACAGTGAAAATGTTGGAAAAACTTAGTTTGAAGAACATTTTCAGCCTTTGTTATCAAAATCTATTATCCTGTTATTTTATCTTTATGGAACAGTGTAGAAACAATACTTAACCAAAGAACAAAAGAAATATGCATTCCTTCTAAGCTTGTATCAGTTAATGATTCTCGGCTCTACACATAATCGTAAATAATATCTTATCAGTTAAAAACTCCCCAGCTCACTCTGAGGTCATATTTGTTTGAAAATGAAATGAAAGCCAGTGTGAATTTTACATGATAGTTCTTTGAAATAATAAAATTTACTATTTTTTTACAAAATGTTATATATTTCTTTTCAACATGGTTAATGACAGTGTGGACAATAATGTAGAAGACTAAGAATGAGCATTTTAGGCTAAAAGTGTAGCAAGAAAACTGAGAGTGTAAACACAGAAGAAAACAAAGTTGTTAAAACACTGTTTAAAAAGAATAAAATATATCCACCACTACAAGCAGATAGTTACAGAGACTATGTGTCTACAGAGCCCATGTGTCAGCGGCATGTGGCACAATAAAGATGAATTTGAGCATCTGAAACAGCAACTTCAGCAGCTTTCTCTCCACCTCTCAGGGGATTAAGTTCGGCATGTAGCAGAACAAAAGCTCTCCCCAGTCCAACACTCACACTGGAACTCACCACCCTGGTCTGTGGGAACCATCAGTGTGGTCCACAGTGGGCAGGAGGCACCGTGTGAGCTGCAGAAACACCCAAATGAATGGAAGCAAGATCTACCAAAAATCTGAACTATGTAAGCACTAAGTTCACATAGTAGAAAAGGTGTTAGGTGCCATTGCAAACTCTTGGTATTGGGTTTGATTTGGGTTGGGGTTTTCTTACTGTTTTTTCTTATGTAAATAATGATGTAATGTGTTTTTCATGCTTTTAGTAATATTTCCCCACTGTTTAGATAAGAATGGGGATTTCTAATGGTGGTCAGCAGGGAGGAGAAGTTCCTATCAGTATTTCTTCCTGCCTTCTTCCAGTTTTTTAATTTGCAACCATTACTTCCCTGCACATTTTGAAGTTGGAGGATCTAAATCTGAAAGGAAATAATACTGTCGGGCAGTTTTCTGTTTACTTTTAAGCTCAGCTGGAGAAAGTATTTAATCTGCAGCCAGAGGCTCTGATTGCCAGGAGAAAATAATCAATTGAGGTTATTCAAAAGCTGCAGATTTGGAGTGTTCCTACATGCGGTCTGATGCTGTATGCCAAGAGTTGGAAACTGTGCGGGCACTGGATGATCCTTATCAACACATCGAGCACGTACGGATTAGTGTGGTCATTAACTTTCCTTGGGATTTGTGCTGCCAAATGGGATTTTAAAAGCTGCAAACCCGATCTCAGGAACGCATGTGCACGTCTCGGGGTGGCCTGGGGCTTGGGGAAAGGTTTCTCCATGCCCCTCGCCCACGGTGCCCACCAGTGCTGCATGCCTAATGGCAGTTCTGATGGAGGAGCCCTGACGCAGCCCCACAGCTCTGTGTGTTGGTATTGCAGGCTCAGATGAAAGCTGATGGGTTCTGTGACTCCACTTTCTTTGCCCAATAGTGGAAATAAGTAATGGGTGCATACTGTCAGTGTGTGCTCACACACCGGCCCGTTTCCTGGTTAAATTAGAGCTGAAGCTTGGCATATTGTAAAGGAGACCTGTGTCCCCATAACTTGGCATTCAGATTTTAGGGCTTGCTTTAATACATGGCTACTGACTCCCCGGAGCACTCAAGTACTTTTCTGAAAATTCCGCTTTGACACATCCCTTGTTATAACTTACAAGTGAGATTCTAAAGAGCATCTTTTAAACTGGGCAAACTTAAGACATGTGTTTAAACAGCGTTTCAACCTTGGTTAACAATTGACAACAGGATTTTATTTAGAGTAGCTGGTCATATAAATATACTTCCTTTTAGGTTAGGAAATGGATAGTATAGCAAATAGTGTGGTTTATGGCTCCAGATTCTTTGTTGAGAGTCTTTACTGTTGGCTTTTGAAAAGGGCGCTGTCAAAGTGGGTACAGCCCAGAATTGCCTCGTGTTTACAGAGCACGTGTAATGCCTTATGTGGTTTTTAAAAAGACATAATTGCCTTAAGAGGGGATGGAATTTTATTTCTTCTTTTAAGGAGGAAAAAAAAGTGGAAACAAGGGAGTGGGAAGCATCAGAAAGGAGACACCACTCAGACCTGGAGTGATCTCATTGCAGGAGACTGATGGGAACCTTGAACAATACAGTCTAGTGGAAGGTGTCCCAGCCTGTGGCAGGGGGTTGGAACTGGATGAGCAGTAAGGTCCCTTCAACCCAAAATATTAGGGTTCTATGACTGTAGAACAGGTCTGATTCTCCCCAAAATGCATTTTATATCATCACAGTGAAAAGCACCAACTGCTAAATGTCAGGTAAGTGTCTGCCCCCCTACAGGGAAGAGCAAACCACCCCAAAGCAGCCTTCACCACTGCACTGGAGCAGCTTTCCAGGGGAAACAGTTTTATTACCTTGCCCTGCCTGCATAAGGCGGCTTTGAACAAACTCATCCCCCAGCATATGCACACCTTACAGAATAATTCCTTAGACTTGTTAATGTTTTATTGTAGCACGAGTTTATGATGACAGCAAACCTTTCAAACTGTAGAGGGATAACACACTTCCTTGCCATATTAAAAAATAATGTTAGTGTAGATTTTATGTACCGTAGTTTAGGCTGCTGTTAAGAGGTGCTTTGACAATATTCTTTTTGAGGTTTACAGAAAGCATAATAAAATATGTAAGTTACATTTCTACAAACAAAAGCCGTAACATAAGTTATTTATAAGTGTGAGATCCAAACAGTATCACGATAAATAAACCTTAATGGATACCTGTGGCATCCATCCTAATGTAATTTGCCCAACAAAAGTCGTATTTAGTAGAAAAATCTGGCAGCAGCTGCATGTTGGTGTATAAAATAAGAATGAAAGAGAGAAGAAAGCTGTGTTGAAACACCGGCTGCTTTCCCGGCTCAGCCCTGTGCTACCTCCCAGCCTTCTCCTCCTACCTGGGGCTGGGGCTGCTGCTAGGGGAGACCAGATGTCTCTGCATCTTTCAGGGTTTGTCCAAAGTACTGGGACATTCCCTGTCGGCTTCACTACAGCTGGATTTTATCAGAGATGGCAGAAAGAAATAGAGCCTCATCTGCCAGTCATCCTCAGCTCTCTTCCCTTTGAGCTATGGTTCCTTCCCCAGCGCTACCCCTGTACCTTCCCCATCTCATCTCAGGCATTTGTGGACCAGTGCATAGATTCTGAACTAAAACAAAGTTTTGGCTTTTTTAATATGATGTTTAAGGTTACCAACCCCATAAAGATGTGCTTTGAAATGTGAATTGAAACTACAAAGGCATGTTCATCCTCACAGGCTGCAGCCACCTTTAACTGTGTATTCTGTGAGAAGGGTTTAACTGTTCCCACGCACTGAGGTTTTATCACCAGTCAGCCTCCACTCGCTTGAGCTCCTCCACACAGGGGAGGGACATGGGGACTACACTTTGGCTGATGGGGAAGGGGCTGGTGAGGGCAGACCTCAGCTCCCCCAGCCTGCCTGCGTGGATGAAGCTCTCCTGGCTGGAGCCAGGAAGGGTACAGCCCTCCTGAGCTCACAGGAAGGGGCAGAGCAGAATGACCTTTAGACTGCACAGCACCAGAGCTCTGCCTCAGGAACAGAGCAGCTGCTGTAACCCCTGTGGCCTGACAGGACCGTGAACCCGTTCTGCCAAGCACCAAGAGCCGGGTGCCCGATGCTGCTCCCATGGCAGCAAGCTGCCTGCCATGAGAGGACAGCCACAGGCTCCCCTGCTGCCTTTCCCTCCCCATGGTTTGGCAGCAAGACCAGTGCTCTGTTCTGGGGCCTGTTGGCCATGGTGGCTCACACCCAGGGGGCTTAGCCCTGACGAGGAGGACTCTGCAGGTCAGGGTACAAGGCTAAAGACCACGTCACCCTCCTGTGTGCCCACCTTGACCCTTGCCCGGGGTGTGCCCCCAGGTGGGTGCAGGCAGAGCTCAGGCAGAAGCCTGTTGCACCTAAGCTGCTTTTGACTGTCTCCTCCTCCTTCCCCTTCCCCTGCCCAGCTGCAGAGTACCCATGTCCCTCTCCAGCCTGAACACCAGTATCACCCTGCCAGACCTGCAAGGATGCTGCTTCCAGAGCCATGGATCCATCCACTTCGTGTCCCGTTGAGCTGACTTCCACATGAATTCTATGTAATCAGTGATGTGCTTAACACTCAAAAGCATGTTGGGTTTATGCAGCAACATCCATCTAGAACAGGCTGTGGAGAACAGGGGTGGCCTTGCCCACTCAGGTCTGCTGCCAAAGCCAGGAGCTGAAACAGAAACATGTCAGCATCTGCTGCTACTTTCTCACGCAGCAAGATACCACCGTTCCCTGTCACCCTATGGGAAGAGACAAAACCTGAAGCAACAGGTGATGCCTTTAGGGGATGGCAGGTCCCAGCGGCTGCCGGTGGCTCCTGCTGCCCTGTGCCTGGCTCTGGCAGCAGGATCGGACTCACGTGGCTCCCCAGCTGTGCGGCATTAGAGACCAGCTCCCAGCCTCTAAGCTCCTGCATGTTAAAGGAGGGTCTGAGGACCACAGAGGAGTTTGAGATGTGAGACACTGTCTTTAGTGTCCTTTTAAAGAAGAAGGACTTGTCTGTGGCCGTGTCACTGCCCTTGAGGAGGCATAAAGATGCTGATAAAGACCAGAGCTGTAGGTCAGACACTCATTAAACCCCTCTTTCTCTAAGCACTGGCTTCCAGCTGTAGGCAGTACCTCGG